CCTGGCTAAATACCGTTTGCCGGTACTTTACGGATTTACCTCGAGTGACACCTAATTAAGAACGTGATATTTCTAATTTTCTATAATTATTTTACCGTTTTAGGTGGAAAAACTTGAATGATGTGTTTGAAAATTATCAATGTTTCTTTAATATCTATCTCAAATTTTACAAAACATATATTGTTTATACTGAAAATCTACAAAATTAATCTGCCAGAATAAATATAGATATTTTCTGCGTAAACTTGTGCGTTTACTTTTTTTACTCGGAATTATTCATAAAATGGTAGGCCTATTTAATCATTTTCATAAAAAGAAATAATTGTTTTATGTTCGACCTTCTCCGGTCATCAACCGTCACCAGTTTCCAAAGACCTTCTTCTTTATTGATCGATTATTACTATATTCCTGATAATTATTCCCCCTCAAACAATGTTGAAAATAATTAAATGGAATATCTTTATATCATTAAAAATGTTCCCCGCAGGAAACCATTTTACTTGTTTGTCATTTGATTTTATTGTGTATTTGCAGGTCAATGACTTTATTTGACTACTGTAATGCTGTATACTGAGCACTGTGTCCTTTTATTATAGACTGAAGTGTATTTGAAGTGAAGTGAACAGTGACACGTTTACATTTTAAAGAAAATAAAAGAAGAACCCAGAAATACTTGGTTGTATTTATTTATTAAAATAACCATAGTTACAAATGGCGCACAACGAAGTTTAAATTTTGTGCCACTTAATGTAAGTGAAGGATTTTAATATTTTCGTCGGAACATCATTTGGATTTATATTTGAAGTGCTGTAAACTGATAAAAAGATTTCAGCTAACAGTGTTCAACTTGATTTGTTATTAAATCAAGCCATTTTGTTACATTAATTGTGGATTTTACGTACACTTCAAAGGGCGACATATCACAAGTTTTCATAATTCCGAGGACAGAATTCCACAGGCAGTAAACTCAAGGTATTGAAAACAATTGATTAGTTTTTTAGTATGAACTTTAGTTAAGTGGATAAAAAGAACTTAAGTTAAGTGAATTAATTTTTTTTTATTATTTTAAGTCAAAGTCATTCATTACTTGCAATGAGTTGATTAAAGTGATTAATGAAGTTGTGAAGTGAACTGAATAGAACTGATTACTGAAGTTGTGATTATATGTGAAATGAACTGAATAGAACTGATTACTGATGTTATGATGTGAACTAAATTGAATAGATTACTGATGATGTGATGTGAACTGAATTGAATGATTATTGATGTGATGTGAACTGAATTGAATTGATTATTGAAGTTGTGACATGAACTGAATTGAACACTGAAGTGAAATGAATTAAATTAAAGTGATCACTTAAGATAGTGAAAAGGATTGAGATGAATACTTAAGTGAGTGAAGTAGGTGGATGGACAGTGATACTTAAATTGAGTGAAACGGATATTCATACTTTAGTTAATTAACATTAGGTGAACTGAATACTTAAGTTATTGAAGTGAATAATTCAATACTTAAGTTGAGTGGAATGTGTATTTATACTTAAGTGGATTAAGTTACATTAGGTGAACTGAATACTTAAGTTACTTAAGTGAATAATTCAATACTTAAGTTGAGTGACATGGATATTTATACTTATTTATACTAATGTGGATTGACATTATGTGAAGTGAATACTTAAGTTTAGTGAAGTGAAAAGTTGAATGAAGTGAATTGGATATTTAAATTATACGTTTCGGATACTTAGATAAAGTGAAGTGGACACTTAAATGAGTTTTGGATAATACTTAACTGAGGGAATAGGAAGTTGACTTTAATAAGTGGATTACTTAAGAAAAGGAAAGTGGAAGAGAAGTGGAAGAAGAGTTTGATACTTAAGTGAATAACTTATGTTAAGGAAGAGACTTACGTAAATTAATTAAGCAGGGTTGAGTGAAACTTAAATAAATTATTAAAGGAAGAGACTTACATAATTGAAACAATCTGCGTTGAGTGACACTTACGTGAACAATTTAAGTTAAAGAGGAAACTTACTTAATTGAACCAAATGGAGTTGAGCGACACTTCAGTTAAGAGATACTTAAGTTAAGTGGACTTAGTGCACTTTTTATAGTGATTTTAGTGAATTTTATTAGTGAGTGGATTTTTTTGAAGAGAAAGGAGTAATTAACTATTTATTTACAAATATGGCTACAGGAAAAGATGGAAAAGCTGCTGATAGTATTTCAGAGGGGGAAAAGCAAATCTTAGAAGTTTTTCATAAATTGTCATTAAAACCAGAGAAAATGGAAAGTCCGGAGGATTTAATTGCTTTTGCGGACCAGATTAAACTGTTGAAATCTGCATCATCTACGAAATCAGTACCAGCAGAAGAAACAGTTTCATCAAAAGGCAGTTATCATTTTCCAAAACTATCAACTTTCTATGGAGAAGATAACAAGGGAGATGTCAGTTGGGAGACTTTTAAATTTGAAGTAGATGCATTGATGGCTGAAAAGTACTTTACGGATGAACAAATTTTACTTGGAATTAGAAGATCAGTGAAAGGAAACACACGTGATGTTGTTAGAAGATTAGGCACAGGGGTGACAATACAAGAAGTTATCATTAAACTTTCAAGCACTTTTGGTAACATCGAGACGAGAGAAAGCATCCTTAGAAAATTCTATTCTATAAAACAGTCTTCAGATTCAGTGTTGGTGTTTAGCTCAAAATTGGAGGAAATATTTACACAAGCTATCATGATACTGATAAGTAGTAAATATGAACACATTTTAGTTTTAACATTATTGTATTCATATTGTTAATGATATCACTCTATAAAACACAAGAAAACTCATATTTTGATTGTCTTGAGTGAAAATAGTGAGAATTAGAAGACCTCTTTTTGTGGCTTAGGTCTTATCTTTATTTTTCACTTTTCTGAGGTTGAGAACTACCTTTTATAAATATGAATAACACATATTAAATCTATTCTAAGGTGTTTTGAATTTAACTGATAAGTTTCTAACAACTATCAGGTAACTTGTTATGTAGTTCTTACTTCAAAAGATGTTTGATATTATAAATGTACATTTTTTGTTAGATTATGAATATTTTCGACCAATTTCAGACTATTTGAAAATTGACACATGTTTTGTTCAATAAGCTATAAAATGAAATAGCCATGGTAAAATCTCTTAAAAATTGGTGATTTGTTTCCTGAAATGATGTAGATAATTATTATCTATTCTATTTTTATTGAATATAAATAATTTTTTTGAAAAAAAAATGTTAAAATTGGTACTTGGATTAAATTAGAAAAAAAAAATGTATTGTCCGAGCACCGTTTTGAAACATTTTTGATACTGAAAAATAAAAAATATGAAAATATTTTAGTTTTTGTATTATTATTTTCATAGAATTGATGGAAGTACACTATAAAACACATATTTAGATAGTCTAAAATTATACTTTTGAAAATTAGACCTTGTTATGTTACTTAGGTCTTCACTTTATTTTCTCCATTTTTCGAAATTGAGGGTGACCATATTGAAACACAAATATCTAGAGTTGTACATGGTAAAAGATGTTAAAAATCCTGCAATAACATGCTTAAATATTATATATTTGAAAAAGAAATGTTTCTTTGTTATTCTTGAAAGTGCCCATTAGGGTCCGTAATCCTTAAAGGCATAAAAGAAAACTGATGATGAAATCTTGAAACAAGATTTATATCAAGGATTGAGACCAGAAATCAAACACTTAGCTGCATATAAATGTGATGCAATTGGAGATTATGATGAATTCAAGATTGAGCTACGAAATATTGAGGCTGAACTTAAGTCAGAGACAGAAGGAAGTCATAAGAAGTGTAATGCAGCTATCAATATAGAAAAGAAAGAGTCATCAGAGATGTCAGAAATAAAAAAATCATTGAAGAAACTCAATGACAGGATTGACAACATCGAGAAAGATGGAAAACAAGATACATATCCTCAATATCAACATCAATTTCCTAGAGGTTACAGAGGTCAAGGTAAAGGATTTAATCAAAGATACATGTATGGTAGAGGCAGAGCTGAATTACGACTATCTAAACCAACTGGTAGAGGTACCTTTCAACCAACATGCTTCAATTGTAATGGGAAAGGACATTTAGCCAAGAACTGTCCTTCATGCATTCCAACCTGCTACAAATGCAACGAAAAGGGACATATCGCCAGAACTTGCCCAAAAGAATAGGTGCTTTTGTTATAGGATGAAATGAAAGCACATGTAATGATGACAAAGATCCTAAATTAGTTGGACATACAAATGAGGTGAAAATTGATCTTAAAGGAATAGAATCTACAGCACTCTTAGACACGGGAAGTTGTATCAGTGCAATATCAAAGTCTTTTTATGATAAACATTTACAAAGTGTACAACTTAAACCGCTATCGGATCTTCTTCGAATAGAATGTGCAGATGGTAACCAGTTCCCTTATGAAGGATATGTAGAAATCAACATGACAGTTACTCGAGGACTACCAAATGTGACAACACATACTTATTTATTTCTGATTACACCAGACACAAGATTCTCTTTCAAAACTCCAGCCATCATCGGAACCAATATTTTAACAGAACTCCTCGAAGAATTTAAACAGAATTTTGGCGATCAATATCTACAAAGAGCAAATTTATATACACAATGGTATCTATCCTTCAGATGTATTTCGATGAGAGAAAAAGAGTTGAAGAAACATAAAAACAGAATAGCAATCATCAAATCAGCAGAAACCAAAAACATTATTCTCGGACCAAACGAATCAAAAGTTATTTTAGGAGAAACAGATAAAGAGTTAGACTTCAACTTCACGTCAGCAATTATTTATGAACCAGAAGATAGCAGTTTACCAAGCTACGTGGATATTACTCCAGGTGTGATCGATTACCATTACAACAAGAATAGACCAATTCATGTTTCCCTGTCAAATTTCTCTGTGAACTTCAACCTATTAAAATAGAAGAATATTTAATGAAAGATATAGAACAGCAAGATGATGTAAGAAATATTATGGAAAAGATTACAATAGATGACAACAAGAAACTTACAGAACAACAAACTGAACAAATTCGAGAATTACTACAGAAACATATACAGACTTTCTCCAAAGATGACTCGGATATAGGCAACTGTCCAAAAGTTAAACATCGAATAGACCTCATTGATGACGTACCCTTTAAACAGCCTCATAGACAAATTCCTCCAAACATGGTAGAAGAAGTAAGGAATCATTTACAACAACTTCTCAACACAGGAATTATAAGGAAATCTAAGACACCCTGGGCATCTAATATTGTTTTAGTACGAAAGAAGAATGGTTCATTGAGGATGTGTGTGGACTTTCGACAATTAAACAACAAATCCGTCAAAGATTCTTATGCATTACCGCTTATTGAAGAGGTTTCTACATTGGATATGAAATCGGGTTATAACCAGGTAGAAGTTGAAGAAATACACAAAGAAAGAACGGCATTTACGGTAGGGCCTTTAGGATTTTTTGAATATGTAAAGATGCCATTTGGACTTTCAAATTCAACAGCAACGTATCAACGTCTAATAGAAGAGGTACTTGGCGATTACAACATGACCATATGCGTAATATATTTAGATGATCATATAATTTTCTCGGAAACTTATGAACAACATTTGGAAAGGATTGATATGATACCCGTCTACATGAAAATAACTTAAAGCTATCTCCAGAGACATGTCAATTTTTCCAAAACCGTGTACAATTTTAAGGTAACGTAGTGAGTCCAGCTGGAATTGAAACAGACCCAGCCAAAATTGAAAAGATTAGAAATTGGAAGACACCTACCAACGCTGATGAACTTAGATCATTTATTTCGTTTTGTGGATATTACAGAAGATTTTTCAAGAACTTTTCCAAGATAACCAAACCATTAACAGATCTATTGCCAGGCACTTTATCAAAGAAAAAGAAGAAATCCGTGAAAGAATGGACATGGACGGATACAGAACAACACATTTTTGATGATCTTAGAGAAAAGCTGACTCAACCACCAGTATTAGCCTATCCAGATTTTAAAAGACCGTTTGAGTTACATACGGATGCGAGTGGGGTTGGTCTTGAAGCTATTCTTTATCAAGATAGTAGAGTTATTTCATATGCCAGCAGGTCATTGACCAAATCAGAGAAGAATTATTTAGCCTTCAAGTTAGAGTTTTTGGCGTTGAAGTGGGCCGTAACCGAAAAATTTAAAGACTATCTTGCAATACAACACTTTACAGTTCTTACCGACAACAACGCCTTGACCTACATACTCACATCAGCAAAACTAGACGCAACTGGACATAGATGGGCATCAGAAGCGGGTGAATTTAACTTTTATATCAAGTATAGAGCTGGTTATAAAAATATTGATGCAGACGTTATGAGCAGACTTCCTGAAATAGATAAAACAGATGGAGATACTTTTATAATGGACAACTCAGCAGTGAAAGCCATATGCAAATAAACAACTACCACTCCTATGATTGAGATTTTACCTGCTTTTACCTGATTTTACCTGCTTTTAACATTGATATTGTAGAAGTGACAGAAGACATTGGAAAACCTTTAGCACAGATTGAATATAGAGAAATTAGAAAACAACAAAGAGCAGATCCTTTAAATGGAGAAGAGCTACAATTGATAACAACTTGCCAGATAAAAAAACAATGCCATACTAAAAAGATTTCTACATGAGAAAACATTTCAGATCTTTTAAGATGAAAAGAGGCATACTTTATAGAGAATTGAAGACAGATGAAAAACTCTAATATCACCTAGTATTACCTAGACAATACAGGAATGAGGTGTTAACAGGACTACACAACCATGTAGGACACCCTGGAAGAGACAGAACTTTATCTTTATTAAGAGAGATATACTTTTGGCCAGGTATGTCAAAAGATGTAGAAAACTGTGTATCAAATTGCGAAAGATGTCAAAGAAGGAAGGAAGTCAAATGTAAACACCAGATCAGAACTTGTCAGCATTGTCTCAACTTACCCTTTAGAACTGGTTTCAATGGATTACCTTACATTAGAGTCGGCAAAAGGATATGGGAATATTTTAGTCATAACAGACCACTTTACAAAATATGCACTTGCTATTCCTACAAGAAATCAAACAGCCAAAACAACAGCAGAAGCTTTATTTAACAACTTTATTGTACACTTTGGAATACCAACTTAACTACACAGAGACCAAGGAGCTAACTTTGAATCAGAATTGATTAAAGAACTATGCTAAATAATGGGAATTAAGAAGACAAGAACAACTCCTTATCACACTATGGGTAACGGATGCACTGAGCGATGGAATAAAACCTTACTAAGCATGATAAGAACTTTGGAACCAGAACAGAAACCAAATTGGAAAGATTACATCCCATCATTAACATATGCATACAACTGCACAAGACATGAGAGTACCAAAATATCACCTTTCGAGTTAATGTTTGGAAGGACTCCTAAACTTCCTATAGATTCAGCATTTGAACAGTAATAGGTGAAGCTGAGACATCAAACAAGACACCCATAGACTATTTGGAAAACCTGAAGAAACAGATGTAAGAAACTCAGGAAATTGCCTTAAAACATTCTGATATTTCAAGAGGTAAACAGAAGACACAATATGATAAGAAGGCAAAGGCATCAAAAATTACAGAAGAAGACACTGTTTTAGTAAGAATATTCAAGTTCAATGGCAAACACAAGATAGCTGACAAGTATGAACAACAACTCTATAATGTGATACAACAGATAAGACCAGACATACCAGTTTTCAAACTCAGGTCAACTGATGGAATTGAGAAAGTTCTTCATAGAAACCACCTTCTTTTGATTAACAGCAATGATAAACTGAATGAAACAAACTGGAGACCTACACCAAAACCTAGAAAAACAACACACGACAATGACTCAACCATATCTTTGTTACCAGATTGGAGAGAAAAAGAGAGAGACGAGATGAGTTCAGATGATGAAGACTCAGATGACAATGTACATACTACATTTCATGGTGGGGACGCCCACTTATCGAAGAAAGTAAAGAAAGGAGGAGAGAGTAAGGATAAAAATGAAGCTGCAAAAGAAGAAGAAGAGAAGGAACCATGTACTATCAATCATGTTGATATACTAGAGGTTAAAGAAACTGTTGCTGAACAGACAGACGCAGAAATAGAAGATCATCATGAAGATGATGTAGTAGAGATTCAAAGTATAGAGGGTGATAGGTCAGAAGAAGAAATGATGACGAAAACACATTAAATATTACTGTAAAAGAAACTCAAAAAGACATACAAACATCAAATAGTCCTGAAGAAACTCAAGATGACGAACAAATATCGACTTGTCCTGAAATGGTGGAAAATGAAAATGTCGCTCCAGTAAACAAAGAAGAATCCCAAGATAAAGTAGTTATTCCAAAACTGAGAACATCAGCTGACCAAAGACCAGAACAACTATATGAGCCAAAACCTAAAAGATCTAACAGAGGGAAAAGACCAGAGAAATTCAAGGATTTCCATATATTCAGTATGAACATGGACACAAGACCAAGAGAAGAGAAGAGAAGTTAGAATCACTGGAAATTCTCATGAAATCAGGGATATTTACCAGCCTCGATACAGACACAGTCCATAAACTAATCGATTCAATAATGGAATAGTTCCTGTAATTATGATTGCGTTTAATCATAATGATTTACTTTTCAAGAACTTCATGATTTCGCTTCTTGACTTATGGTATTGAAGGTAAGTAATCTTCAATACCATTTCATTATTTTTGAGATAATTGATTTTAATGATATTTTTATACTTAATTTCATTTTATATTTTTGTATGACTGAATTTTGTGGAAATTAATGTTTTCCTTAAGTTACATTAAATTTTTTCCAAAGATTAAGATCTTTCATAAAGATTTAAGATTTTTGAGCTGGAGTAGTTTGTAACTGATTTAATATTCAATATTTGGATATACATTTTTTTAAACTATTGTTTTTCAAAAGGAGTAATCTATTTTTCATTTTATTGTGAGGTCACAATTTTTTTTGAGGGGGAGAAAATATAAAGATTAATTGATGATTTTTTAAAGGTAGTGAATAGACTGGCAATATTGAAATGATTATATAAATGACCTTGTAGTGTAGATGTATGTTATCATACTTACTATGTATTTATAGTTGCAGAGACATAAGTAGTTGTATTTATGTACGTAAAGACTTTGACATTTGACAAATGACGAGACGTCATTTACCAGAGAGGGGGAGTGTGTGGCAGGGTCTTATTTAGTGGTCTAAGCCCTATTCATTATTTATTTAGTTATCTTCAACCTTGGTTTTATCTCTAGTCTGATTGGTTGATATAAAACTATTCACTCAAGTAGATCGAGGTGTTTGATACTTGTGGAAGACATGTTGATTGATTTTGGAATGGAAATGTTTTAACTATTTGTGGGTTACTTTGTTTAACAGTTGAAGGGTGTTTACTTGTACACAGTTCACGGGAGAGATTGTTTGTGTGAGCAGGTCCATAACTTGGTAAGTTTATACACAATGTATTTGTGTATTGTATTTTTGATGTAAATACCTTTCTTGTATAAATTGAGTATTTTATGTTTAGCATAGAATATTGAGATATATGGATAATGTTGATAATATTAAGTGATGGATGATTAATGGACCACTTGGCACACCAGAGTATTTTGATATACATTATATGTATATTACTACTTCTTGATTATTTTTTGTAACATTGTTGTTGTAATATTATGTACATGATAGTTTTCAGGCTTTAGACAGTATTGTATTATTTGTCATTTGATTTTATTGTGTATTTGCAGGTCACTGACTTTATTTGACTACTGTAATGCTATATACTGAGCACTGTGTCCTTTTATGATAGACTGTAGTGTATTTGAACTTGAAGTACAGTGACACATTTACAATTTAAAGAAAATAAAAGAAGAACCCAGAAATACCTGGTTGTATTTATTTATTAAAATAACCATAGTTCATTGTAGTTACACAACAACAATTTACCAAATTTATGACGTAACAAAATGCCTCGCGCTTTTTATGGATGAGTCCAGGTGCGGCATTGACAGAGGGCGGTTAGGCATATGTAACCTCATACAGATAATTTTAAGCGTTGAGGTAAATTTGTCTTGATGGTATTTTTAAATAATTTTTGTATACCAAGATTATATTCTTATAATTTACATTTTCCTCAAACGCGAGTTTTTTTTATAGTGAATCAGTTCTCCTTTTTATTAGCTCACCAGAGCCGAAGGCTCAGGGTGAGCTATTAGTATCAAAGGGGGATACTCCGGCGTCCGTCGTCCGTCGTCATGCGTCAACAATCGTCTTCTTCTCTGAAACCGCTTGACAGATTTACTTCAAATTTGGTCTGTAGCATCCTTGTGACAGTCACACTTGAATTTGCTCATGCCATTTCAATTGGCCCATTTTAGGGGTCAACAGAGCTAAAAATAGAAAAACCTTTCAACATCTTCTTCTACAGAACTAATAGATGGATGATCACCAAACTTTGTCTGTAGCATTCTTGGGTAGTCTTTTATCAAGTTTGCTCATATTAATTTGATTGGCCCCTTTTAGGGGTCTCTAGGGCTAAAAATAGAAAAAAACCTTTAGACATCTTCTTCTACAGAACTAATGGATGGGTGATCACCAAACTTTGTCTGTATCATTCTTGGGTAGTCTTTTATCAAGTTTGCTCATATCAATTTGACTGGCCCCTTTTAGGGGTTGCTAAAGCTAAAAATAGAAATTACTTTAAACATGTATATCTAGAGAACTAATTGATGGATGATCACCAAACTTTGTATGTAGCATTCTTAGGTTTCTTCTATCAAATTTGCTCATATTAATTTGATTGGTCT